TCCAAAGTATGAGAGATGAAGTTTGGCCATCCTGGCCTCCAAGGAGCACTCTGGCTGTACTTCTTCCAACACAGATTTGTTGGTTTTTTGGCATATTAAAGTATATAAATACCCAGAGTAAACCTAGGAATCCTGGTATGGCACTGCAGGATAAGCACTGGACTGCTAACCACAGGTCAGTGTTTCAATCCCACCAGCTGCTCCTTGAAAACTCTATGCAGGGTTGCTATGAGTTGGAACTGACTCCACAGCACTTACCTACAATAAAAACAACAGTAAGCCAAAAAAGAAATAGAAAGATCTTTATAAAGAAAATTTCATTCAGTTGGGGAGGTGGGAGGAGAAAGTGACTAGATGAGAACATTATAAAAATGTCAATCCTTGACAAATTAATCCATATTCTTAGTAAAATCTCAATCAAAATATAAAGAATATATATTTCACTAAATAACATTAGTATGATTAATTAGACATTTAGAGAAAATTATGTTTACATCCAAACACACACATGCACAAAAAATAACAATGGCTTACCAAAGGAGCTAACTCTAAAAATGGAACTGGAAATGTACTAAAAAGAAAGAGGGGCAAATACTTTTTTTTTTTTTTTTAATCTTGGGATGGAAAAAGAAAATATAAAATAGAAATGCCCTAAGGGAAAACTTGGCACACTTGACTATTTTTTGTTGCTTTTAAGTGCCAGCGAGTCTGTTCTGACTCATAGTGATGTTCCAAAGGGTTTCTGAGGAGCAGCTAGTGGGTTTGAACCACCAACCTATGTTTAGCAGTCCAGTGCTTAACGTACAGTGCCACACCAAGATATAGAAACATGAAAACTTCTAGGTGACAAAAGAAACCACAAAAAAAGGAAAAGGAAAATCAAGGAATGGGTTAGAAAAACCAAAAAATATTTCCAACATATCAGTTCAGTATAAGACAATAGTCACATATCAACTGTGGCTAATGGCTGCCATATGGGACTAAGTAGCAAGTCCATACATAGAAAAGCAATTTCCTTTTCTCTGATACAAATATAGTAATTTTGAGGAGGGAAGAGCCCAGCCCCCAACTTCCCATGGTGCTGAAGTTGTCAGGAGAAAGATTCCTAAATTTCTTGTGGTTTCTTGATTCCTAAGTGCATGAGAAGATAGCAGTGCCAAAGTACCACCTTCCCCGCCTATACACACTCAGCAGCCTTGAAGGGGGTGTGGTGTCACAGCAACAGCAAATCACGTACCAGTTACTGGCTACAGTGGCTTCTAATTCAGGTAAGCTGATTTTCGTTGTGATTCTCAGTATTTGACTGTCTCTCCACATTTCAGTCTGTTGATTTTTCCTGTATCCTAAATTCACTGATGGATCTTAGCAAAGTTGATTTTAAGTTTGTTCAACATTTTTCTTTTGTTCTGTTGTAAAATATATATAACAAAACAATGTCATTTTAATCATATTTACTTGTAAAATTCTGTAGTGACATTATGTTCACCATGTTGTGCAATCATCATAAGAACCAATTTTCAAAAATTCCCCTCACCCTTAATTGAAACTCAATGTCCCTTTTTTTCACCTGGTGACCATTAAATGAACTCAGGTCTCTCTATACATTTGCCTATTGTAGATATTTCATATAAGTGGAATAATATGACATTAGTCCTTTTGTGACTGATTTATCTCATGGAACATAATGTTTTCAAGGTTCAACCATATTGTAGCATGACTCAGGACTTCATTTCTCTTTATGGCTGAATGAAAATTCCATTCTATGGATACACCTCATTTTGTTTATTCATTCATTTGTTGGTAAACATTTGTTTTCACCTCTGGCTATCATGAATGGTACTAAAACAAACATTGGTGCACAAATATTTGCGTCCCAGCAAACTTAAAGTCATGAACTGACCATCAAGGTATTAGGGCCTGGAAAGGAAGACAGTCTCTATTCCCAGTTGGAGGATTCCAGAGATGATCTAGGTGCTTTGATGCTTGGAGTGTGGGGCAGATGAGTACAAGGAAGAAAGATGTAACTAATCTGGAACCCACAATCTTGTGGAAGAGTGAAAAGATGAAATAGAACCACACTCTATGTGGAGGAGAGCAGTCAGAAGACTTGTAGAGGCCACTGCTGCTCAGAGCACAGAGGCCCCAAACAACATCTCAGGATGGTCAGGGTATGGCATCAGGCTTTGAAGCCACACTGCCATATTTGTTATGGCTTTGAGGAAGAGAACTGTTTCTTGACTTAACAAAAATTTTCAGATTCCCTTGATTTTGATCATGCAGGGACTAGGATTTTCTGGCAGAGGTCTAGAAATATTGGGAAAGTGGGGCAAAATGAGCTGTTCAGACTCATAGAGGGGTTTAGTGCCCATGGCTCTTCTTTTTCCATAATTGGTGCTGGGAACTTGGATGGCAGATATGGTGGCATCTCCTAAATGAAGGTACAGACCAAAGTTAGGTGCTATTGAGTTGGTTGTGATTCACAGCTATCCTATGTATAAGTTTGCCCAGTCCTATGCCATCTTCACAGTAGTAGGTATGTTTCAGACCATTGCTGCAGCCACTGTGTCAATCCTTATCATTAAGGGTCTTTTTCTTTTTTGCTGATCCTCTACTTCAGCAAGAATGATATCCTTCAGAGACTGGCCCCTCCTGATAGCATGTCCAAAGTAAACAAGATGTTTCATCATCATTTCTAGCCTCTAAGAAGCATTTTGGTTGTACTTTCTCCAAGAGGGATTTGTTCATTCTTCTAGCAATGCATGGTATACTCATTCCCCAGCACCACAATTCAAATGTCAATTCTTCTTCAGTCTTCCTTTTTCATTACCCATCTTTCACATGAAGGTGAGACGTTTGAAAATACACCTTAGTTCTCAAAGTGAAATCTTTGCTTTTTAGACTTACAAGAGGTCCTTTGCTACAGATTTGCCCAATGCAATACCTTGTCTGACTTATTGACTGCAGCTGTCATGGATGTTGAATGCCTCAACCAATGTCCATAGAAGCAGCCATGCTAGCACTCTAAGCATCTGCCCTACCATCCCCATGGGAAATTACTGGAGGGCTCCATAGCCCCTTCCTTATATCCCACCAAAGAGACAGGGAATAAAACAGAAAGGGGGCTCCCCCAAAGAAGAAGGGGTCAATCCTTCCCATTCTGTCAAGAATTTGTGTGGAGGACCCCAAGGAAGGAAAGGGAGATGGAAGTGGGTTTAATAGCTGCTTTGCAGAAAATTTAGAAAGAAGTACACACAGTTGGAGCTCAGCCAATGGCAACCATTATTGCTATAATGAGAGCACAGATATGTGGCAGGGTACTCCCCATT